TACCATTAATTTAAAAATACTGATTTCTACTGTTTTCTTTTTTTGGACTCTGCTGTAGGACCTTTAATTGAGCTAACCAATATATAAATATTCCCATAAAAACCAATTTCAAATAGAATACAGCCTTTTCTGGTACATGCATCTGATATATATATTTTTCTGTTACAGGTCTGGATTGAGGCAGGCTCTCAAATATTCTTCTCCTACAGCCTGACGATGGGGACTCTAAATGTTCTGGGCAGCTACAATGATTACAACAATAACTGTTATAAGTAGGTACAAGTTACATGAATTGTCACCTTTATTGGATTTAAAAATAGGTTTAACTATTATATATCCAATTATATGAAAAAATACAGACTTTATGATTGCTTTACTTTGCCCCCCAGAGACTGCTTTTGGCTGTGTCTGCTGAACAGCGGAACCAGTTTTGTTGCTGGGTTTGTCGTCTTCTCTGTACTGGGATTCATGGCAGAGAAACAGGGTGTAACTGTGGATGCTGTGGCTGAGTCAGGTATAACTTCTTGTGCATATAAAGATTCAGAGTGAAGTCAAGGTTTTAGGCTCTTTCAGCTCTGTTGATGTATTTTGAAGCAAAAGAGTTCTGAAAGCAAGTATTAATTCGAACAAGGTTTTGTATTAATGTTTTATGGTGAGTATAGACTTCGTTCTTGTTTAACTGTGATTCACAGGTCCAGGTCTGGCCTTCATTGCTTACCCTCAGGCTACAGCGATGATGCCTTTGCCACAGTTCTGTCTGCTTTTTCCTGATGCTCATTCTGCTCAGTGTCGACACACATGTAGGAATGTTGTACTGACTGTTTATTAACTAACAACTGTTCAGTTGAATATAAACCTGAAAACAGTCACTCATAATCCTGTCTCCAGTTTGTGACAGTAGAGAGTGTCATCACCTCCATCAGTGACTTGTTTCCGACATTGTTTCGTGCTCCAGTGAGGCATGAGATCTTTGTCTTTATCTTCTGTTCAGCCTTCTTTCTCATCCATCTGACCATGGTCACCGAGGTAAAAAATAACCAAATAAATGCTTAAAATGCTGGTTGTTTTTCTAAGCTTTGTTAATTATTAAAACACTTTCTCATTCTCCGCCAGGGAGGAATTTACATATTCCAGCTTATTGATTACTACGGTTGCACCAGAGCTTGTCAGGATTGTATGGCTGTTTGTCAGTGTGTGGCTATAGCCTGGATTTTTGGTGAGTATTTGACTACATATAGAAGACATTACCGTAATGAGCAGATGGTCACAGATGGTCAAATGCTGAGTGAGTAGCCAAGTAGAAAAATAGACGTAAAACCCAAATGCAGCACATAATTTATTTGATTTTCAGACAAAATGAGTAAAAGCCACACTGAGCAAAGTAGGATGACATTTTTACTCAGTGTCTTTCTTACTGTTGAATTATAAATACTGAGCTTAACTGAGACGTGTGGCTCCTGTAGAGGTTGCTCTAGGCTTTTTTGTGACCTTCCATGAGTCACCAGTGTGCTCCTGGGGTACTTTTGGTAGGCTGTCCACTCCTGGGAAGGTCCACCACTCTTTCAAGTTTTCTCCATTTCTAAAATTGTCTGCCCCCATGGTTGACTGGAAACCCAAAGCTTTTAAAATGGTGTTAACTGCTTTCCATAAATGGCGCAAAATAAGAAAAGGGTTTATACCATATCTTTACATAAACCTTTGAACTTCCAACAGGTGCTGAATGCTTCTCCAACATGATTCAGGACATGGTAGGACAGAAACCATCTGCCTTCTTTAATCTATGCTGGAAATGCATCATTTCTCTGCTGACACTTGTGAGTCCAAAACATTGATAACGGATGGATAGGTGGTGATACATTTTAACAAGTTGATCACAATTTATGTTTGTTACAGTTTCGAAATTTAACTGCATCAAAGTGAGATGGCAATTATTCACTAGTCTAATCCTCATTACTGATTTTAACGTTGCCATCATCTCTTTCAGTAATTATTGTAATTATGGGATATAACCATGTAAGAACTATGTATCTAAATTTTATTTTGTGATTCACCCAACCTTTCCAGTCTTCCTTCATCTTGTACCTCGTTGATTATCAACACCTCAAGATTAACAACTCGTACGTTTACCCAGACTGGGCGTACACACTAGGATGGGCCATGACTCTGTCGTCTGTTCTCATGGTACCACTGTTCGCAGCTGTACAGATGTATTTAACACCAGGCACCTTCAGACAGGTCAGTGCTCAGTGAAGATACTCCTGCTATTTTGCCACACACTGTTAACACCGACCTTTTTCTTCTTCGTTTAGTAGAATCAATACATAACATTTAAAAGAATAAAGCCAGCCAGCTATGGTAATTCACAGGTGTGACACTCACTGTAAAAAAAATCCGTAAAAATACAGTACAATCTACTGTATAAACGTGAAGGAATTTTCCGTATTAGTCATTTACAGGTATTTTTCTGTATTTCTCAACTACTGCAATGCATTGTGGGAAAAAGAACCTGAAAAGGAGGGAAAAGTAAGCGCAAGAGCAGCCATTAGGCTTCTTTCAGGCTTCATCTGGATTTTGGATTCTGAAGTTGGAGAAACTGCCTTCAAATTTCTGTGGTAAGTATTAAAACTTATGTTTCGTTTTATTAAAATAATGTTTTTCAAAAGACTCCGTGTTTTTATTTAGAAAGAATTATTAATTTATTTGTTAACTGCTTCACACTGTCTCCAGATAAGTCAGGCATATTTTGCTGACTCATTTTTAAAATAATTGTTATTTAGGTTTAACATGACTTAAGCTTTATTTTAGTTAATGTTAAAATAATTTTTACTGTGATACCACCAGTTTTGCCCTTCAGTGGCTGAACCAGTTTTCATAAATATTAAAGTTAGCTGTCTGTGTCTCTCTGGGTATTACACAGCTGTGACTGCTAACTAGCTAATTAGCGAAAGTCAGCGATGTGGATAACTGGGAAAGTGAGAACTTCATGGTTCTAGAAATTATTCTAGGACTCTAATAAGTACTGTATCAATACCTGTGTTTTACAGTTGGCTCTACTGTACACTTTAAAGGGTTTCAGGCAAAGTTACACTAACCCTAGTTTAAGCCTCAGACCTTCCTGGCTGACGCTAGCAAATGCTAATGTTAGCCTCTGATTTGGGCTGCTAAAGTAAAGACTTTTAGCTAGCTGACCAGCATAGATTATTTCGGTGGTTAACAGACTGTAGTGGTAAAATTATTGAAAGTATAGTTTCACCTCAGCACATTTACAATTACAGTATGTCTATTTTGTAGCACATAGAAATGTTTAGTTAATATTTACAGACAGACACATTTTCCCTGTAACTGTGTTTTTACTCCAACATTTGTTGAAAATGTAATTTATGAAATGCTGAGCAGCATTTCTTGTATGTGGAATATTTTTGTCACCCCACTGTGCTAATGTGATTAAATACTAAAAATTATTACTAAAAAAATTCAATAATAAATCAATAATAACTATTTCTTGATTGAACTATAATGTAAGCGCAGTGCTGGTGTGCAGGGGCTCTATATGCCTTGTCTATATCAAGCTTTTAGCCAAATATAAGCAGAGATATTTGTATCGTTCTTAAAAATCCAGATCCTTACAGATTATTTGAGAAATGGATCAACAGCTATCACTACTTGAAGCACTTTAAGTCCTGCAGTGGAAAAATATCCCTTATTTCACCTTTGATCACACACTTTGGTTTTCCAGTGCAGAGCAATGGCCAAGAAAAGGAAAGACTTCCCCGAGTGGAAAAAAAAGATGAAGATATAAGCTGGTGATGATCCAGAGCAGCTGGTCTCAGGAAATGAAGAAAAACCCTGATCACCTTCTCTACAAACACAAGGTGAGTTTAATGTTGTGGTTGATTTAGTTTTTCAAGGTATGTATGTTACTTTAATTATAAACTGCTTTTGTTGCAACAGAATGGTGCTATGTGTATGCAACTCTACGTGAATTATAATCCTTTGTAGGGCTGCGTGATATGACCAAAGTCTCATATCCCAATATAAGACGTATCTCTCCTGATAACGATATATATCACAAAATAGTGCATTTTCTGTAAATTCTGTGATTCTCGGGCAACTCGACTTATGTGAAATGTTTTCAGTTGGGCGTCGTGTACCTGGAGTCGAGTGTTTTGACCGATGCATGAAACTATACATTTTTAGACATGAGTTTAAATGGCCGCCATTTTCTTTCTGAGTATTTATTACACGGCGTGCTGCAAGGAAAAGCCTGTTCTAACGTTTGAGTCTAAGGATTATTTTGAGCACCTGACGACTCTTTTTTGCTTTTCATTCGTAAACTCTCTCGAAACTCTTTCATGTGATTCTTGTGTAGGTGGTTAAAGAGGTTTGTCGTGTTCGAGTGGTGGTGGGGACCAGTTTGTGGCATAATTTGCATAGTACAGTTTTCTGGGGCGTGTCAGACTTTTCATAACCAAACCATGTCCATGCTACAGAGGTAGCCCCTCATTTAACAATAAGGTCCTCGATTTCTTTTGACTGGTCCTTCTGGTTCTGCCTCATCCTTGCTGGCCATGCTGGTATTCTCTGTGCCTTCATCTGCGTGGTGACTGTAAGCGCCATTTATAGTTACTTGATGTTTTTATTTGAGGTCATTTGTTTGATGCATATTCTGAAATTTTATGTTTGAGAATAATGTATATCATTTCAGTTTAGTTTGAAAAGTCTCAACAGAAACTTAAGCTTTATTGTGAAAGGTTTACGTGGAAAATAAACAAGCGGACGGCGGAGCCACACGATGGTTTTATCCTCATTGTTGGTAACGAAAGTACGCGTAAAAACAGTCACTTGTCCGTCCATAGTGTGGTTATTTTAAGTATAAGAGAAGGAGAGAACTTTAAGAAATAATATAGCAACTACAGTGACCATCAAAACCATGAAAAAAATATTGCCGTAAACAGTTTATTTTGCAACACCACAAAACAAAGAATAGTGTATAATATGAAACGATAGACATTTTTATATCGTAATCTGATATATATCGTCATATCGCACAGCCCTAATCCTTTTTTTGTTTATGTTGTTTATGCTCTAGGTAAAAAAAATTATAAAAATACAAACTTTTTAAAAATGTCTTGTTGTTTCTCTTTTTTTCCTCAGAATAAATTGCGACTAGTCTCAATGGCTGACACGGAGGAGCAACACAGCGACACGTTAACTCCGACTGCTGCAGTTCCTGTATGAACTGAGCAACTCTTAAAATCCAAGGAAAAGCTGTGTGTATTTTACTTAAAGCTCAGATGGACCTTGATGTACTAACATGTAGGCTGCATTCAGGACTTTGTCACACTGTTATATGAAGAGCGGTAACAAGACTTTGTAGTAATTTGTCTTACTATTGTCTTATTTGTTGTGATTTAGGGTCTGTGCGCACAAGCAGAGGTTTTTGTTTGTAACTGTAACCTCGTTTTCAGAGCCTTGTCTAACATTTAATGGTCATGAAATATGTCAGACTTTTTCCTCTACTTAACCAGCTTAGAGAATTTGAACACCGTGGAGAAAAAGGTGTGCATTAAGGATTTTGAACTATGATGTTTAAGTGTTGTCACTGCTGAGGATTCGTGGACACAGATCCTTATTCACTATGCTGCTGTTTACAGTTTAACTTTTCATCAGAACAAGCACTTCTAATTATACTTTGCTCCTCACTGACAAAACAAGTCCCGTAAATACACTTTTATCTTTAAGTTTGGGACAGTAATCTGTCTTAATTTATTATGTGTTGTAGTTATCATATGGGGAAAAGTCCTGTGGTTATCCATCAGTCCTGTTCGAATAAACCCAAAGTTCAGGAACATCTTCTTTAGATTTGTTCAGTTGTATTCATGTGGCACCACTTAAACAGTCAACAAATTTTGACTCAAGTATGTTATATTGTAACGTAAAGAGCCCAAAGAGTTAATCTCAGACAAATGTTCACACAAATGTGAATTACATTCACTTCATTAATGAAGTGAATGTAATTCAGTAATCAAAGGTGTTTGGCTATAACTGACTACATGTGTATACTGTATCATAAGTGGACAGAGATGGATGTAAACCACACCTTAACCATTTGGCTGAGGCAAAACTACCACAAGGCAGTGATTCTAACTCAAAGGTACTCTGGATATTATTAAATGTGAACATGTCGTTAAATATGACATTTTTTGTTTGTCAGGTGTCCTGTTTGAAGAAAACACTTGGTAGCCACTTGAATGAATGTAAATAAACACATTTACATGAGGGCAACCTGATTTCAAGGTAATAAAAATGCTCAAATTTGAAAGCTTGTGAGTTATTTTGTTCATGTATCAGCTGTTTAGTAGTTTTATGACAAGATGGATGCTGTCATTATATTTTAGTATAGTGTTTGAGTTAAGGAGAATAAAAGAATATTTAACATTAATTGTACCAATGTTGTTGTGTACGAAGCACAAATTAATTTAAGTTTTAATTTATGAATTTTTGAGTACATGGTGTACTAGGTTGTAATTGCATAGAAATGTACGTTTAAGGATATAAAGAACTATATTTAATGAGTTACAGTGAAAAGAAGTGCTTGGAAATAGTAATATAAACAGAAATGTCAATTTTTCTATTAACGGAAAATATCAGTTAATGATACAGAAAATATACTGTGAATAAACGGAATTTTCTGTTTTATAGCTGAAGGAAATGTCCGTAAATAGTACAGAGAGTATACTGTAAATCTACAGAATTTTCCGTTTTATCATTTACAGAAAGGTCCGTCAAACCTCCGTAAAAAAACAGAAAATGTACTGGCAGAAAATTACCAGGACATTTTCTGTTTTTCTACGGAATATTTTTTTACAGTGCTGCGTGGCTTAGTTCAAAGGCAAGTTCAACAAAACTTGTTAACCCATTAATATTGTTTAATTTTACAAAGCTGACAAATAGGCTCGTCTTTCAGTGATGGTCTTTTGTCCTATTTTTCATGGCTTGAGAATTAGAAAAATGTAAATATTTATCTTCATTATTTCATGTTATGATGGTTCGACCCTCCTCTATCACAAATTAGCACAGGTATGCACTGGGAGTTTATAAAACTGCAATATTTTGTAGAGGTAAAGATGCAGGCTTGATCTTAAAAAAGCATGGCTCTGAAAATCTGGTAACTTTTAGTTGTATGTACAGCTGTACACTATGATTATATGCTAGCAGTTTATTATAGACTTTTAGACAGTTAACTTTATTACTGTTGAATTGAATTGAATTCAGTTTTATTTATATAGTGCCAAATCACAACAACAGTCGCCTCAAGGTGCTTTATATTGTAAGGTAGACCGTACAATAATTCATACAGAGAAAAAACCCAACAATCATATGACCCCCTATGAGCAAGCACTGTGGCGACAGTGGGAAGGAAAAACTCCCTTTTAACAGGAAGAAACCTCTGGCAGAACCAGGCTCAGGGAGGGGCGGAGCCATCTGCTGCAACTGGTTCGGGTGAGAGAAGGAAGACAGGATGAAAGACATGCTGTGGAAGAGAGCCAGAAACTCATGACTCACACCTTACATAATCAATCACATAAACCTACCGCAGTCATGGCTGAATGGCTTAATATATAATCACAGCCAAGTTTTCAATGTATTAACTAATCAGTCGTCCTTTTCTGTGTTCCAGCGTTTGCCCATCCTTTGTCGTCCTGCTGAGGAGACAGTGAAGCAGACAGAAAATGAGGGAATGAAACTAAGTCGCGACAACTGTAAAGCTGAAGCCCTTTGCGGGGACCGTGTTTCCAGTTCACTTAAAACTTAAGGTTAAAAACCTTTTCAGCTCTCATGACTTTGTAGTAATCAGCAATGATTTATTAATAAATTCACAATTAAATGAAAACAAACTTTAATGGTTGTTCATTTTGGACATGTCTCAAGTCTTTTGTTTTAGCACACTGTCTATACAAAGAACCAGTTACATACTCATGTTATTAGCATTTTATAAACTTTGTAAATTAGAAAATTACATTTAAAAGACAGTAAAAATATTGACGATAAGCAAACAGGGTTTCAGTATTGTCTGAAATAACAGCAAATGTTGATGATACCAAAAGTGTAATTAAAGTGAACTAATTAGATTTTCGACAGCAGAGTTAAAGTAGCCTTTGAGCCTCCCATTCGCCAAAGATTTACATGGGAGGCATTTAGATATCTACAGATGTCAGCTAACTAAATGGTTTTAGTTAATTAAAATAACATTGAATGAGTGCACACACAGTTGATTATATTATTAAATGGATGTTTTCAATATACTCTGCACTGTATACTGTAAATATATATGAGAATCATAGTTTTTCACATCTTTATGCAGAGTTTTTTTTTAGTTCTCACTGAGGTTCTGTTGTATGTGATACTGTTAGACAAAGTATTTAGTCAGCAGGTCAGCGATCAAAGTGCTTATCAAACAATGCAGCAGCTATGCCCGTTACTGCCTGGTGTGAGTCTGATCGTGTCACACATCCCCCAGTGTGATTTGATTGGTAAATGAATGAGCTTGCATAGCCAGCCCCTTATTGTACCAGGTGAAGTCTTTGACATCAAGATGAACAGTGGAAGAAGAACAAGGAATCAAAACAAAAGACAGAGGATGGCGGACCAGCAGAAACATATTTAATTTTTGCACAAAATGTTTGTTCTGTTGATGGGAAACAGCTTATTTTTGTACCACGTGTCTCTTTTTCACTAAAGGTGCCGTATGATCTGTTACAGTTACTATAGTTTTGTATTTTCTAATTATTATAATTTTTTATTCTTATTTTGTCTTTATTTTTAATTCGGTTTAATTTCAGTTAGTTTCCAGAGTTTTCTTGTTTAGTTTCTTGATTAAAACTGTTTATTTTTAGTTTATTTTTAGTCGTTTCAGCGATAGTTTTCATCTTTTTAATTATAAACGTGAAGGAGGGCATATGTCAGAGGCGAGATTTAGAAAAACAAAACAACAAACAGTACAGCTACAATAAAAACACAGATTGTTAAAGCAGTTGACTCACAGTCTTGTAGACATCCAGAGTCTCAATAAACCACCGATCCCCCAGGCAAATTGTATTTTTAACCAAACTAACAGAAAAATAAGGATATTTGGCAATATTATATTGTTTTGTTATTTTTATTTTAGTTAACTAAAATGTTGTTTTCACGTTTCACAGTTTCAGTTTAGTTGGCCAGTACACCAAGAAGGATTAGTTACACAATACAAGAAACTGTGTCAACTTTAAAGGTTAGTCTTACGTGACTGAAATGGAACCAAAGCTGATCATTACAATTTGGAGAAAAGATTGAAGGACCTAAACTTTGAAGTGAGGTGTTATGATAACTACAAGCTGGAGGCAGTCCTAGATGTTGTCAAATTGTCAGTAAGAGCCAAATATGGCTCACCCAGCTACTGTTCCCAAAAATCTTTAACCAACCTCCACAGACAAAGTAAGCATTTATTTTGATAATCAGGCATGCAAATCATTAAACTTCATGACTTCAGCTATAGTATAATCCAAGTCTGGGCTCTCGTCTACCTGCTGTTCTCATTCAGCTCTCAGCTGCTCTGGGCCAGCTCTGAGAACACGTGAAACATGGGTAAAATTAGATAATGGAGTTTAATTTGGGGAATAATACTTTTTCATATTAACTTCTTTCTAGGTACCTTCACCCATTGCCTTCACAAATAACACTGTTTATTCCCCAAACCATCTGTCTGGGGCTCAGATTTACCATCATTCCTCAGCAAATTAGCAAAAACTACTGTAACACACAGAGACTCTAGGTCTGACCAGCCATTGCAGCCGTTGGCAAAAGATGACAACCAATACAATTCTAAAAGATAATTTATTAGTACAATGACCAAAAATATGAAGGGACAAAACAGTCCAGTGTCCCAAGTCAGCTTCATTTTACATGTCAACCACTTAAACAGGGATCAGTGGTTGTCCTCCAAGACCCACCACCCTGTAAGTAGAAGGCCAGTAATCACTCCGGCTTCAGCAACCCAAACTTGCCTTTAGGCTTTGCTATATAGTAGGCCCTGACAGAGAGAGAAAATATCACCCCATCTCCATGATACAATTCACAGAGCAGAAAACTGTTCACCATAAATATATTTAAATCAAGTCATCTTAGATCTGGCCATATGACACACCTGCGCAGAGAGACAAAATATCACAGCAGTGTTTGTAGTGTGGGATATAAGTAGAGTATTCGAATACAGCTGCACTAAATTAATCCACCCCCATCACAGCCATTTGCTCACAACAAATATGACATACAAAATTGTCGAACCCCTCTACAGCCACTTATCCCTCGCTTTACCGAGCTCACTGGCTCATTTTAGCTTACATTGTCTAAACTCAGAGTCTAACTTATGACCTTGTTATGGATTTTATTGAGCACATGACCAATTATTTTCTTCAAACTTTTTCAGAAGTACATCCTTCCTGTTCTGGCACTGGTGAGTCAAAACAAGGAGCCTTTAGATCTTAAAAAATTGAAGCCAATCTAAAGTGCCCTGAATTCTATCTAATGACCAGTGAGGGTCATCTCCTCTGTGGAAAAAAGACGTATGATTGTGTCAAACTCATTTTAGTTCAAAAAAACCCACAGACAGCCTAATTTATTCTCTAGTGAGTTGGACGAGTAGAGCCCAAACATCCATCCATTTGTTTTTAACTATTTATCCATTTCAGGGTCACAGGGGGGTGGAGCCTTTACCAGTAAAACTATATGTAACAGCTGGCAACTTGCCTAACTCAATATTTTTACCTTTTTTAACTTCTTTTCAATGCTTTTTCAATCCTTTGGTGTAATGCTGGCTTTGCATCACCACACCCGGAATATTTATGCAGTATATTAACAATACAATTATGTCACTTTGCAATGTTATCCAGCAGGACGAACAAGACCGAGGGCAGTTAAAAAGGGTTCTTATTTATGTTCTTATTTAGCACTTTTCTACTCTTCCCGAGCTCTCAAAGCACTTTATGCAACTTGCAACACAGAAGCATCTTTTTCTATTCTGTTTCTATGTAAGTGCTTTCCATCTAACACTCACACACATTCACACTCTGATGGATGCAACTCTTGTCCAAGGATATTTGTCATGCAGACTGGAGCAGCCAGGGATCAAACCACCAACCTGTTAATTAGTAGATGACCTGCTCTTCAGCCCCAAGTCTTCATGTTTGACACTCGTGTTATAGAAGACATAATGAGCCTTGTCCTTATTTCATCTGCAGCTTCATTAAACATTTTCCTGATGGAGCTTCAGTATTTGGCTGGTTTTCAGCAATAATTCATTCCAGTGCTGAATAACTGTGGGTAACACAACCTCCTCACCTTTTCATCTTCCCTCCATCCTCTCTGTGCTGATTAGCAGCACCTCAAGATTAATGACTTGTACATTTACCCTGAGTGGGTGTAAGCACTATGATGGATCAGGACTTTGTGCTCTGTTTTCTTGCTGCCAATGTTGGTATTTGAACAGATGCGTTTGACAGCTGGTACCTTCAGACAGGTTAGTGTTATACCGATGCTTTTCTGCTGTATCTTCCAAATAGATCAACACACTTATTTTATTCCATGATCACCCCCCAGTCGGTGATCTGCAAGATCATGATAACTTTAAGTTACTTATACTTCACCTGGGTGCCAAAATATCTAGCTAGTCATTCCAGAGTTTGTCTTTTCTTCGTCACCCCACTGAACATCTGCCCTGGCAGAGGAGACCAATGGGACAGGAGGGAACAGCTGCTGAAATGATGACTTAACCAGTGACAGCTTAATGTAACCTGTAAAATCACATTACCAATTAATCAACTGATTATTCAGCCAAATGCTACAAGGGCAGATGGCCAAGTAAAATAGATCTTGTATGCATATTTTTTCTTTTTTCTGGGTTTACAATTTTAGTCTAGATTTTATTTATTTTTATGCTTTGTTGCATATCTTCAAGAGCCTCAAAAACATTAAACTCTTCAGTTTGCACCTACTAGCATCAGCTAGCACTCCTAAACCATCACAGATATGTTTTTACTTTATTTTATTTTATATCAAATGCTTCTTTGTCTCGTATGAATTTTGTATGAATCTGATTCCTTTAAATGTTCTGTCACTGGTCCTCACTAAGCTGCCACCTTTTGATCTCGATCTTCAGTTTTGTGATCATCAGATTTAATAGCAAACATGAAACAGTCCAATAGCTGACAATTTCTAACTAGTTCTAAGGACTCCACTATTTTCATTTAATATTAGTCAAGTCTAAGATGCTTGTGATTTTTGTGGAATCTACTCAGATTATTTTCTTACTGCTGTTTCAGTTTCGTCATTGTTTCCATATTTTCTATATAACTTATGTGCACTGCTTGTGATCACAAAAGTGTAACACAGAGTCAGACAGACCAACTTCAGGGAAAACAGTCTTTCTAATTAGGAAAGCACAAAGCAAAGTGCAGAAAAATGAGTCAGGAGGGATTAAACATTTCCTTCTTTTTGAGGGCTGTCTTGTTGCCTGCTGCCAGTTTCATTTGCACCAAAGCAGGTGACTGAATTTGTAACTGGACAGATTCATGTGTCTAATCTTTACTGACATTTATTTTTGGAGGTGAGGTATTTATTTAAATCTTTTATCATTTTATCCCAGGGATCCATACATTTCCTTTTTCATTGAGACAATTTTTGTATTTTTACTGTCATTTTTATGTTTGGCTTTTCATTTTTTTGGGAACCCGTTGAGGAAAATGTTAATATATTTTCTTAATGGAAACTAAAAGTGACTCCACATGCTGAATATTACATAAAATTCAAATGCAAAAACAAGACAGACCATTGTTGTTGTTGTATTTTCAAACTTTTTAATAATCATTTTTTAATAGAAGAATATAACCCATCTAGGTTATTTTCATTGAGTCTCTGAGTCAAGAGGACAGGGGAAGCTTGCTTAAAGAGATCAAGGATGTGCAGGTGTGTAGAAGTGCTTTTACATTCAAGGGATAACAGAGGTGTGGCACAGCTGGACTAAAGAAACCAAAATTACCTTTTCAGTTTTGACTCATGTTACAGCTATTTAGAATAATCAACCTTTCTGTTTTTCATTGTTTGCACTAACTCTTGTCACACTTGTTGCACCTTAATTAGTAAGTTTTATTAAAAGTAGTGGTTTTAATAGTTTAGGATCAGTTGTGTCAAATGTCATATTAACTGACATCGGTTTAAAATGAGCCTGAAAGGTGCTCATTTTAAACAAATCAGTGATTTGACAAAATTACTGAAGCATCCATTAGGAGAGGAGCTGAGGAGTAGAATCGAGGACGTACAATGAGGGAAATAAAAAAGGTCAGTAAACTAGATCTAAGGTTCTTAACTTAAAAACGATGACAAATAATTTACTCAACTTTCCAAAAATCTTTTGGATACACATAGAAAATGCAGACAAATCAGGGAAAACTTGAAATAAAGATCAGTAAAGTAATATATTCTAGCTGCTAAAGACCCCCCCCCCATTTCAATGTGCCTATAGCACTGTGGAAAAGTAATGAGCTGTCCCTCATTTCTTTTTATATTATTAGGAAAATGCAAAATAGGTGCAGTTATTAGGTGCACTTGTTACCAGCTGGCAAGTCTGTAGTTCATATGACCACCTTTATTCTGGAACTCTACTTTTCAATGTTTAAATTTCATCAGCTCATCAAGATTCCTCACACCATGGGCTGAACCATGACAGAGCCTCCACCCTGTTTTATAGATGGCTGTAGACACTCACTGTCGTACCGCTCTCCTGAGCTCCACTCACTAGAAACAAAAATCTCAAATTTGGAAGAATTACTCCATAAGACCTGTAGCCACTGATTTTCAGTCCAGGTCTTGTGTAATTTGCCATACATAAGCCTTTTCTTCAGATTTCTGTAAGAATGACATCCTGACAGCCACCCTTTGTTTGAGATCATTTCTGATGAGGTTTTGGTAGCTCCCTGGTTTGGTCACATGATATATTAAAAGGGAGGCATAATAATAACAACTCAATTTGCTACTGCAGCAATAGGTGAAGTCTTTGACATGAACATAGGAAGAAAAAAACGACGGGATTGGTCCATTAAATTGTGGTGGTTTGGTTAATGTGTTCAGATTTTCAGGCTTGTGATGGTTCTACATTTCTGAAAGTGAAAACACATATTAATTTTTTAATGTTTATTGAGTTGGACATGTATTCATAAAACAGAGAAACTAAAATGTAATTTTTAATGTCCATGTGTTGAAGTCCATTTGTCAAGTGTTCTGACTTGTTTCAGCTGATTTCAGATACGCCACAGTCTCATTACAGGAAGTCTACAGCAGTGCTCATTTGTCCTTAGTGAATGCATCCATCACCATCTGTTATTTCTTCTGGAAAAATCCCATTATGGAAGCTTGTTTAGCTCCTTTATTTGAGTTTGCTGATGCTTTCTTTTGAGTTTTCTTCTCATCCTCTTTGCTACTTGATGGTTTTGCTTTAATGGGATCTCTTGAAGCTTGTTTGGAGGGTTTAAAATCATCTTCGGATTCAGAGTAAGATTCACTCACGTAGCCTTTTTCTGTCACTGTGGATGAGAAACAACCCGGAGTTACAAATTCATACAAAACAACCAAACTAATCAATCTACTGTGGACAAGAGGACACTGCCAGATTCAGCCTAGATTGCTGCGTTTCTCTTGGTAAGACTGATGGAACAGCAGCAGCGAACATGATGCTGTCAAAGAGCAAAGACACGTTGCCGTTAAAAAGAGTTCAGGTGGAGTGAAGGACAAAAAGTGATCCTTGCGCTTGCTCTGATCTACCACCTTCAACAAAATAAAACACAGCTCTCTGTATGCAGAAATGATACTAAACTATGATCTTAGTTATCTATGATTTTAAATTGCACAGCTTGCTGCAGGTTGACAACCGTCATCTCAGTGTTGAACTGAAGCCTGCTGCATGCATTGATGAGTTAATGTAATGGATGGGGTGCACTCAAATAGATTTACCTAAAAGATTTAGTAACTTAGCTTGTAGATTTAGATTAATATTAAATATAATTAAATCATATTAAATATAATAGTTAGATTAGATTTTATTATAATAATAAAAGTCAGACCTGTAAAAATATAAAAGCAGCTATTAAATCTCTCAGAGAAAAAACATTAAGTTGAGCATTGTACACATTTCTCACAGAATATTACTGCTCTTCCCTGGATGTATAGATTCCTCATAAACAAGTATAAACAAGTGAAGCGACTGTGCGCCTGAGTATAAGCATTTAAGGAATATCCTTTATATGCAGACAGGACTAACAACAGCAGCGGAAATCTCCCAGCCCTGAGCTTTTGTCTCATATCGATTACTTGTACAGACCCTGACCTCTTTATTTAAAAACAGTCACATATACTGTAGCACTATATATAAATACATTAAAAGTGTTTGATTATTATCTGCACTGGTTGGATTTTCACTGTTGTATGTTTTTCATACCCATGCATCCATCATCGTCCAGAAAGGTATGAGACTTCATGACTCGTCTTCTCTTCCTTATTTTCATTTCAGAACTGCTCGGCTGTGGAATAACAAGACGCATGCTCCGAGTTAAATACATAAAAAAAAAATACATTAAAAAATGAATGAAAGACTACCAAAGTTTCCAGTTATATCAAAACTAGAGTATCAAACACTTACATGGGAATGTCTATCGGGTTCAACCTCCTTTTTAGGACTTGGTGATGATGGTTCTCTTGTCACGACTGGCTGTGGAGAGTCTGGAATAACTGGAAGGGGGAAAACAGATTATCTTATCAATTTTGAAATGTCTACTTTTATAAGTTCTTCTTTTCCCAAAGACTGAAATGAACTGAAATAAAAGTTTTGTCCTCACAAGCCGTTTGCCAATCCAATTAATTACAATGTTTGGAATTGCTTTTAGTGTGCCTACAGCAGCAAAACTAATACAAAATATACATTTATATCTTTAATCCAATTATATCACTGTTTGTTCACTTTTAAAATAAATAGGTTTTCAAAATAGAAAACATCAGAATAAGAGAATAATATAAAATAAAAGTATAACCATCTTCATCACTGCTGTCTGGCTCCGGTTTCTTAATCCTCCTCCTCTTTTTCTTCTCCATCTTCTCCTCTTCACCGTCAGAATCTTCTAGCCGCTTAGTTTTGCTATCAAAAAAAAAAAAAAAAAAGGGAATTAAAGAATTTAAATTAGATTAAAGCCAGAAATAAACACCCTTTATAACTTTTGAAATTACATTTCTAAGTAACAATTAGAGACAGGGAAGTGGGACTTGATTGAGGAAAGCGGATTCTTTTCATGATTAGAAAACTATTTCCTCATGTACTGAAAGGAATATTTAATTCAATTTGTCACATTTCCCACATGAATACCAGCACACACCTTCTGGAGTCTTTCTTTGTGTCTATTTGTGGCTCCACTGGAGCAACGGTTTCTTGCTTTTCCTCTGGTTTTGACCTTTCATGCTGCTGCGCTGCTCTGGAAGATGACTGAGGTGCTTCCTCCTCCTTCACAGGTTTCTCTGGCTTCTCTGAAGTAGTGAAAAAGAACAATTATTCAGTAAACATATTCAAATCAAATAATTACTGCTCATCTTTCTGGGTTACTTTTGTATGTCGCAAAACAGCATGCACATTGATAAACGTGGAAACTTGATTTAAAATACAAACTCAATTACTCACAACAAAACACTGAAAACATCAGATCACTGCAGCAAAAAAAGTTGTGACGTGGCATCCATGTTTTCCAAGTAAAACTTACCGGTAACATTTTTATTTTTAACCAGAAAGGTTTCCACTTTGCCTCAGACCATTTTAAATGAGCTTTGGCGGAGAAGATGGCAGGGTTTCTGGATCGTGTTCACAAGTGGCTTCTGCTTTACAGCCTCTACATTCAAAACCTTACACTCTATGCAAGACAAAACCGTTTTTGCTGATTACAACCTGCAGCACTTTGGTACTTTTTTTAAAACTTGTTGGCTCACTCGCTGATTATTTTTCACCATGGTGAGGAACACATTCAATTATGATGCTTTTACTAGGTTTATGTGAAATAAGAACATGACAAAGACAACATTCATTTATATAATGATGTGATTTGTACAACTGCTCTGAAAGGCAGATCGTGTGTCAAATAAAGAGCAAAATAGTACTACTACTACTACTACTACTACTAATAATAATAAAAACAAACTATGAGCACAACAGTTTCAAGGTTAAAATAGAAACCTAAAACAAAATAACAGCAGTCTAAATGGAACATATGAATTTTAATCCCCCTTTTAATAAAGCACACCAGACACACAATACTTTAATTATTACTCACTTAATGTTTGAGTCCCAAAGAAGTTTGCCACTGGATTGGCTTTTGCGACTGGTTTGCTTTTGGGTGCTTCGATCTAAAATACAAAAAACACAATTATAAACAAACAGAGCAAAAACTCGAGTACCCTGAAGAGCAACTGACTGCAGCACAAGGACAAAGTCGTACATCCTCTTTCTTTTCAGGCTTCATCTCTTTGGTGTTATCCTGACTCTTAGGAGCAGATTTGTTAGCAAACATTCCCATGATGCCTTTTGGAGGCTTGGCGGATGATTTTAAAACTGGGCTGGTGTCTCCATTCATGCCAGCCTTTTTGTTTTCAGCCTCAGGTGTAGGAGCTTGCTGGACTTCCCTCGCCTGCTGCAGCTCCACAGAAGACATGGGCACTGCGCTGGCACAGTGGATTGCGCTGTATCTGAAAAGCAAAAGAAAAATAACTATTAAATAATATAAATAACATTATGCATTAATTATGTTTTCATTCTAATAGTGGCTAAACTAATCTTTACACAGATGGTGTAAAAATGCTGATGACTGGTCACTGCAAATCAAAAAACACCATGATTAGCATACCTGCTGCAGTTTTTAAGATTGTCTTTCACAGCGTCGTAGTCCACAGCGTAAAGTGGGCCGCTGTCTCTAAGCAACGCTCTCTGGACGCTGTAGACGTGCACGCTGACTACCAAGCTCATCTTGGCTTTGAAATCTGCAGAAGAAAACGGCAAACGTGACACACTGCTGCTTCATTTACAACAAATATGTCATTAAATAAAACAAAATACAAAGAAAATCAAGACTCACTGACATAAAAGCATACTATTTATTGATGGTGATGATTATGAACTGAGGATATTACTTTCGAAATTAGAATCAAACAACGAGCCAACCTTGCTGTTACAGAGCAACACAACCGAATGATGTCATGTGAATTAATATTTACACACCTTCCAGCTGGTCCTCTCTCACAACAGACACCTTGTGACTCTGAAAAGCAAACACAGTGTAAAAAAAAATCATTAAAGCTGCAGCTTTGGGCATGTAGAAAAAAAAGAAAAGAAAAGAAATCACAAAAAATGCTACAACAGGTCTCACCGTTTGACCGTTGTCCACAAATTTCCCTGACACAAGGTAGGTGGCATGCAGCTGAGCTGAACTCTCCTTCCTCTTGTGATCCAGGTAATGGTAGAGCATTCTGAACACAAGACACAACTTAAATGTATTTCCTAGGTAAATCTGTGTTTATGGCATTTATGTATTTATCAGCCAATGACAAAGTGTTAATGATCTTTTTTTTAAAAGAAAACACACAGCACCTTTTTTTTTTTTTTTTTGCATGCACACACATGCCAAAACATGCAAACGTGCGCATGTCTTCATCTCACTACCACAACAAAAACGGTGCAACTCAAGTGCAGAAAAACTCAAGCGACGTTCCATTGGACTGTTACTGTCAAATGTAGTGCTTCTTTGGCGCTAAATACAGTAAACCCTAATTAATGTAAATTTGCGATTGTTGCTTGGACAAACAAGACATTTTGAAGATAGTAAAAATGTATCATAAATTATTTTATTAGTTCCTGGCATGTCAAAGTAACCACTTACTGTTTTGCTGTGTTGACATGAACTCCAAGAGTGAGACTCAGCCATTTATAGGTTACCTGGTGTAGAGAAAGCACACAGGACACTTGTATTTACACAGAGACTATATGACGGATAATAAATATTATCCAAATATTGTCTTTGTTCTTTAAGGTACCGATTATTGTTGCTTTCCATTAAGCTACATGAGCTGGGAAATATCTAATACTTATCAGATATAAATAAATATCGACTTCATGTCAGTGTTTGAAATGTCTTTACTACAGCAGTGTTTGTCACGCACTTGGCGGTTTCCAGCAGTAACTGAAATTGGTCAACTAAAAATAAGCTTTTCTTCAATTCAACTGCCATTTACTACATCATAGCAGAGCCGAATTAACACGAAGACCCCTGAACATCTCCAAAATTGATAAAAATGCCCCTGGATACACATAAATTATCGTGAAAACCAGACAAAGTTAAAACGGCAGTTTTTTTGAGCGGAGTTCAGCAGCCAATCATGTCGAAGCCAGAGCTCAGCCAGAAAACCTCATCGCACAAAATGAAATACCGCGAATTAAGAAGGCACTTACTATTTTATTATGGTCATTGACGTATTCGTCAATATTATCCAAATAAAGCTCATCCATTTTGTTTTATTCTCCTTGAAAGCAGACGACTTGCTGTTCCAATTTAACTGCGCGGGAAAGCAGTTTATTTACTTCCTGTTGCATGTCACGTGTCCGCCCGTCCTTCCTGTGAGGTGAAAAGCTTTAGGCTGCCCTCTGCAGGCCAGACGGGGCTGTGAGTCACTCCCTGGATCAAATGAATGATAGAAGTAAAAAAAAAACCCAAAAAACAAACAAACAAACAAACAAAAAAAAACCAGGAGCTTCATTCATTTATTTTTTACTATATTCCACATACATTATCACTATTAATACGGTTTTTTGTACCCCAAAACCAACACGGGACAGTTAAAAATTAGTGCAAACTCTCTGAAACAGCAAAATCCACAATGTGAATGCAGTGGAGCTGAGAGAGCATCAGTTCATTATGGGCACTATAATGCACCTATGTATGTGGAAAACAATAATGATGATGGGTCTCCAGGGGCCACTTTAATGCTATCTCTTATTATAGTAGCCCAACAATGTGCTTCAGTTTTACCTCACCGTCTATGTGGGAGGCAAAGGAACAGTTTGTAGAAAATAAAGCAACCTTCTTGCACCTCCATCATATCAAAGAGCAATAACTACAACAGCAGCAGCCTCAGATTGTTCAGTAGAGAAGTCCATTCTTTCCTCATGGGGAGTCCGCTTGATATTTCTAACTCAGGCAATAATAAACTCTTTTGAAAATGACAGAACAAAAATGGTTTGCCCAGTGTGTCTTCAGCTTTCAGGCAAGTTTCTCAGGTCACAAGAAAAAAGGTATGGTGCTCAAAACATAGGATTATATGATGTGATAACATCATATGTTAAATGACCTTAGGCTCGTTAGGAAATAAAGTAAGGAAATAATGTAACTTCTGTCGGTGCTGTGCTTTTTTGGAAATCGAATTTCCCAGAGGAACCCACCCGAGGGATTAATAAAGTTCTATCTAATCTAATCTAATCTAATCTTTCTTCCTTACTGTACATCGCCTGTATATGGCTATTCCAGTCCAACTTACTGTTGGGCTGCACACCAGGGTATCTGTGGTTGAAGACCACTTCCATCTCAGTGCTCCTTATAGTTATTGGTGTTGATTGGCTCCCTCTCCCACCCCTAGTGTACTCTACAATGGTTTTTGTGACATTATGATGAAGAGGTCCAAAACTGTTCCTCTTTTCTCTTCGTGCTCAACTGCTGTGTCGTCAAAAAGTTTCAGGAACAAAGTGTCACTGTTGTGCTGATGTCTGAAGCCTGCCGTAGACAAGGTATATGGTACACTCAGGACTGTGTTAGAGACACTTTTCTGCAGATGCACATATTGTGGTCGGCAGGAGAGATACTCCAAAAACACAAGACCATTGAAGGATTGTAGTAAAGGCACTGGAGAAATCAAAAAATATGAATCTCACAGATGCATCGACCAGATATATATGTGGCCTCTGGATCGACACAGCATTGGTGTGCTTCATTTCTGTTGTATCAAATCTGAAAGAGTAGGTTCAAAAAGTTCAAAGTTATTTATTTCCTTTAATCAGAATGAAGTTTACTGACTCTCCCATGTTGATGGGGAAAAAACGAGACTTTTTGTCTCTTATGGATCAATCAAGTAAATTAAGAAGCTGAATAAATAAATAAATAAATAAATAAATAAATAAATAAATAAATAAATAAATAATGTACCAGAGGAACATTTCTAACCCTGAACAAATGTGCTAAACAAGTAGAAAAGTAAGAATGGTTTTAAACAAGCGAATCCATATTATTATCGGACCATTTCGATTTCAACTCTAGCACATGCAAACCTATTGGTCCAAAAAGCCTTGTTAATGAGATGTAGCTGTCAAATCTGAGTGACACGCTGTATATATGATTATCTGAGGTGTGTTCTCAGAGTCTATCTGATGTAATATTTAGATTGAAGTAGCTCTGAGTCAGCCTGCACGGTAACTTCTAATAGAAATGTCAAACAGAAGGGCAGCGACGTGCAGCAGAGGAGGGAAAAATATTCCCATAATGATGACAAAGTACAAGAATAATTGTCTCACCTTGAAGACAGAGAGCAACACTGAAATCCTCAGGTGGATCAGATTTGGTTTAAATGAAGAAACATTGTGATCCTCTTTGTCTTTCTTCTCATTGTGCTGCACACAAGCACGTTTACCTTTTTGGCTTTTTTTGTGGACTTCTTTGCAATGGTACGAGTGCAAAAACGTAAACAATATATGAAAAACTGAAATTAAAATCCCCTTAAAGATGATGGAATCTACACTTACATTTGGACAAAGACCTTTTTTGCAGTTTTGCCCATGTGCAGCACCACAGATTTTAAATCAAAGAATCAATAAGCAGTTGAAGTCCAGATTTTTAGCTTTAATTTAAGTTGAACAAAAGTATTGCAGTAGCTATTTAGGATTTTTAGCCAGTTTTATACATAGTCCTCCAGTTTCAGAGATTAATAATAGTAATTTGAAAATTGAGTCATAAAAAGTTTTATGTGAGGTCCGTTCCCTTGTTAGTCCATGATAATATTAAACAGATAAGAGACCTTCTGTTTATTCCAGGTTGACATTTTCACTGGAATTCTCAGAATTCCAAAGGCAGAAGTTCAAAGGCAACTGATGTTAACGCAACAGACCAGGCTTTTTAGTTAGTGAAGACAAAACTTAAGGCGCAAACATGCAGCAGCTGAAAATGGCTTGAGTAAAGGCCTGAGGATACAATACAGCATTCGTTAATTTCCATGAGCTTCTAGATTTCAGTCAGTTATTACCGTATTTTCATTCTTATATTTTTGTACAAACAAATTTCATCGTCTGAAGATTTTAAATAAAAATCATAGCTGGAATTATGTAGTTCCACTGCAGTGGTGTATAGAGGCAAAATTGTGTCCACAAGCATGTGGAACATGACTAGTCTATATATAATGTGCTTTTACATAAAAATCCTAATCTATGAAGGTATACACACTTGGATGTCAAATCATAAATCAATCCACTGTATTTCAAAGAAAGATGTATTTATTTATTTTTTAAATAGATGTTTCCATAACACCAGTCAATTTTACAAAATCAGGTCACTAAACCAGGTCGGGTTAAACAAGGTTTGTTGTTTTAATGAAAGGATTCAGATTCAGTCAGCCGATCTGATTCACTGTAAGCAAAATCAGTGAATTGATATCAAACCGCAGCCCTCCTCTTGTCACACCAGAATGTCACTTGAGTGTCCCAGTGCCCCCCCTCTGGTTGGCTCAACTGCCTCTCTGCTATGAACTAATGGGTCAAAAGTAAACCTCTGTAATCCAGCCCTGCACGTGAAAGAAAATCTGGATCTCCTTTGGTTGCACCTCTAAAAGCCAATGCTCATCACAGCTGCTTTCAGAATCAGGGTAATGTTTGATACAGTGTTATTGCTCCTTTTGCTGAAGTGTTTATGATACTTTTTATATTGCATTTGTTACTGTTCACTCCCCGATTACATCAACACCGTGACTGGCTGTATTTGCGTGGCTCAAGGGGTTTATTATTGGTTTTATTTTACACTTTGTTTGCAAAACAAACAAACAATATTGGACGTGTCACTCTAGATAAGAAATTCAGTCCAAAGTTTTACATTACAGATGCAATCTCTTTGGGATGCAGTGGCTGTGCCATATTTAACATGCTGGTTCACGTGGACAGAAAAATACGTTTATGCTTGTAACATCTGGAATGTTGATAAGTGTCGGCGGTACCTGCAGGTGTCTGACACTCTGTGGCTGCCTCCTGTGCTGCCAAAACATCTCTGATCCATCAGGGCGTGCACGAGGTACCGCTGAGGGTGGTCTGTGATGTCTGGCACCAGGAAGTGGATGTTGGCTTTGGGTCCTGTGGGGGCGCTTCCTTAACTGAGGTTGTTCAGGCGCGTCCTGAATGCTCAGCAGGATTCACATGTGGTAGGTTTAAAATCTGGATCAGGGCCTTTGGCCATTTTGTTAAGTTCTTTGAATGATTGCTATCAGGGATGACTTTGACGTTAGATACACTTGACCTGCAGCAGTGGCATCAGTGTAGATGCTACCCTGACATGTAGTGCTCCACATCATTGCAGAAACTCATGCAGAACATTAGATGGTATCAAATCTTTCTTGTTTCTTACACCTTTCAGTGGTTTTAATGTTGTGGCTGAACAGTTTATTTGGGTGGTGTTGTGCAATCACACAAGTTTTGTTTTGTCACTGATGTGACTGTGATCTTCATAATATTCCTCTATGACATACTACAAGCTTCTATGATTTTAACTTTTTAATGATCCTCAGAACTTTTAAATATTGAAAGAAAACAGAGAAGAACTTTTGATTGCAGCAAGAAAGAAGGATGGTAAACCAGGATGATTTCCCAGACACCGGAGGAGAAAGGATAAAATGTCAAACTAGCCTCACCATTACTGGGATGCTCTTTTTGGCCGTCTCCTCCCACCACTCTCACAGCATTTAAGTGTATGAAAAACCAAGCCCATCCTGACCTCCCTGCCATGGCCCCCAAAATGTAATTAAATTCATTTGTTTCTAGTTCCCGTGATATAATTTGATTTGCTGGTCCGCTTTTGTCACGAATCCAACTCCTGTTGGGTCCTAACAGGTGACTGAACAGCTTTCAAAATAAAAGAATGCAAATAAAAAAATAAAAAATGAGCAAATACAAAACAATAAAATGTACATCTACCAATCTACAAAGAACGACCACACCGAATAAAAGAAAGTGGAAAAACTAAAATTGCTTTCACATCATCACAGTCGTATCAGTTTATGTTTATCTTAACTTTGACTGGCCTAGAGTTTATTTTGGAAAACTAAAAGTATACAGTATCTACACGATGCGTTAACACACAGAGGTCACAGTTTCTTTTTTATGTATATATATTTACATTTATGGAACACCTGAACAAGAACCTTGATCAGGATCACACCACACATACCAGATTACACATCCACAAAATCTGAATTCAAATCTGAACCACCAATGCAGTTCAGTGTATTTGCAGATCTGCACAAAATCAACAGAAAAGTTACTCTAAGATGAGTAATTTATTCATCCATTAATCAAACTGTGG